GCCTACCTGCCTACCTTCCTACCTGCATACCTGCATACCTGCATACATGCATACATGCATACATGCATACATACAGAGAAAACCTAAGAACAAGGTGGCCCTCCCGCCCAAAACCAACTTTTTCCTAAGACAACAAAGCTTTCTACCAGAAACCAACTTGTCCTAGGGTTTAAAAACAAATGGGCCAACCAATTTGGAGTTTTGCTGCATAGCTCCGCAAACGAAGCTTGTGTTTTGGTGTTTCCTGCTTTCCGCGGAAAAGTCAATTAGCTGATCGAACACCACCCCAAAGCGATTTTTCATGGGAAGATTGGCTTTTCAGCCCAAACCCATGCATCTTAGGAAAAAGTTGGTTTGTTTGCACAAGCGTTGCTTCCGACCTCAGTTTGCTGCTTTTGCGCGTTACAAGCTAGAGTTGCCAATAAGGTTACAGTATCATCACTATTGGGGTTCGACACTGATTGGCACTAATGTTTGTAATATGCTGAGCAATGGCCAAGCAATCATTCGGATCACTCTTGGCCGAAAAAGCTAGTACCTGCGTCACGCTAAAGCAGGTCATCCGATTTAACGTCGACCAGGATACTAGACCAGGCAATCAGCTTGTCGCAATTACCACTACGATTTCTATTAGCCGTGACTATGAGGTTGTAATTAGGAGAAACGATGGCGGGGCGGTAAATTCTGGGTGGTACTAAGGCTACTATGGATAGTTTTCGGGCTATGACGAAGGCTAATCTCGGGCAGAGATGACGTTAGGGCTACTGGCAGGGATAGTGTTAGGGTTGGTATTTTGGAAACAGGAGTCCACTAAGGATCATGGTCATCAATACGGTTTCTGCTGTCTAAACATGTAGCACCGGTAGATACACATACATGTGTACATGCATTCATACACGCAAGTCTGTATACAACAGCTAGCAGGAAGCTCCATGTACAATACGTTGAGGTGGGCAATCTAATCCTCTCTCATGTTTAAATCTACGGGCCATCAATGGTGCAACGCCATAACTAAGACAGCTTAGGGTCACGGCTATTAATGAAGTTCTTGTTTGGTGGTTTCGTATTTGCATGAATACGACGCTTACCGTTGGGGTTAATACGCGTGCCGGTATTTACCTTACCGGCACAGGGAGTTCCATGTACAGCGCGTCGAGGCGAGCATTTTGCTCCTTTCTCATCCTTACATCTACGGGCCATCAGTGGGCAACACCACAAGTAATAAGGCCAGTTCTTTTTTGGTGGCATATATAATATTCGGATTCGCATCAATACGACGCTTACCGTTGGTGCTAGTACTTGGGTCGGCATTTACCTTAGCCGCACTAATACCAGTACCAGCAGTAACTGGTATCGGGGTTGTCAGGACTTCCAATTAATTTCGGGTTCATGAACACTCATGTTAGGGATATCCGGAGTAATCAAGCTCTTGGCGAAATGGTAAACGTTTCCCTAAGGCCATCTTATTGCGGTTGCTGTGGAGGAAACTTTTCGGTGCATTACGAAAGTTAGCAACAGAAGCAAACTACGGCTGATATTAGGTCTTTGAGTAAAGTGCAGCTTCGAGTCAAAAAATAAGGCCTGCCTGGCAGACTCCAGCATCCTTACCATCCGGGTGCCAATCAGGTTAATCTATTTTAATGTATTATATGGCTTCAGACCGATGTGTGAGTCAATGCGCGCATGAAAGTGAGTTACTAGCCGGGAAACGTTTTAATCCATAAAGCTATGACAGCTATGACGTTGAGCTGTGATGCGTCTCTGCTGGGTGGACATGAACCAGAATAGCAGGGTTATCCACACCACTACTGAGGCAAGGCTTATACGAGGCTGCGGTTAGCATTTCTTGTGAACCCACATCGAAGTCAACTTCAAACTTACTGGTAGGCTAGCATCAGACTTTCGAAAATAAAGTTGTGATATCAGGGTCAGCATGATTGCCACTCCTGGGCTTGAACCTTAGGGTGGCCACTATGGATATCCGCAACGGAAGCGCTTCTGGCAAGGCTACTCTACTGGGTTCGTGTTTGGGCTAGAACGAAAAATCTTGCCTGTAGGGGGTAATATTCTGTTTGATATAAAGTACATATATATATGTATATACATACAGCTGGAAGACCACTGTGGACTCTGTGGGTTGCATCGTCGTGGCAATTTATCTCATCATTTCCTTGGTCGATCTTGTGAATGAAAGCCAACGCCTCCCTTGAAGCCTCACTTACCCGAAAGCCCTTACACCCGCTCTACTAGCCATCCCTCAACTAGATTCATATATTATGTATATATGCATGCTTCGCAGGACCACTAGTAGTTCACGGAGTTATGAGCTCTGGTTGTAATACTGTTTTCGACTGTTAGTAGTTTTGTTTTAAGAGGGTGGCCACATCGCAAACGCTAGCAGGGGTGCGGCGTCAGCTAAATTACTACTTCTTCCTTGAAGTTGAAACAAAGCATTGCCGACACTGATGGACGAAGCCGCGTCCCAGCCGCGGGTACCCGCCAACGAAACGCGCAATGCTTTCATCAGAAATAGGTCACATAGAAAAACAAGCAGAAAAACTAGCGCCGACAACAAGCTGCAGATGCAGAGAAAAATGTGGGAGAAAGGCCCCGCATCTCGAAACAAGGTGATAGAGTACAGGAGGCCGCAGGAGCGAGACTAAATTTTCTGCTAACAGAAAACTTAACCAGTACTAACTACGTGCTGTAAATATAGGTTATTCCATAAGGTGTTGTATAAGGTACCCTGTATTGGGTATATAGAGGAAAGTATTCTAAGAGGCAATCAAAAGGCTCTGGGGTATTCAATAAGGTGTATATGAGGTATATAGGGGGTGATTCATAAAGTCTTACCTCGGGTATTCTGTATGAAATTCTTTACTGAGTATGGAAGGGATAGGTATTCTACACGGGGGCCGGATTGAACATTGCAGATTCCTGGAAGAAGTTTCCCAGGGATCTTCAATCTTCAATCTGGCCCCCGATTCAGTTGAATCGGCCGATTCAACTGAATCGGCCCCGATATCACAAACCGCGAGTGACAATGACTTGTATCGCATACCACAAGGCATAATTACGTTAACACTGTTTACATAATGCTCCTAGCCATGAGAAAATCATTAAATCAAATCCCCGAAACACGAACCCTGTCTAAGGAATAGTGTTTTTTTGGAAGTGGAGTCAATCAAGGCGCACGGTCAGTCATAGCAACTGTTGGGGCTTTGATCTGAAATTACTCTGAGAATTACTGAATTACTCTGGAAGTTCATGTATTCAGACAGAATTTGCTTTCATCGTTGGGAAATCATCTCTTGGAGTATATGCGTACAGGATCGAAAAGCATTGAAAATGAGGGCGGCTGCCGATATTTGCATGCTATCCCCTTGAAACCTATAAAACTACATTTAAGCCTGCATCATGCACCAAAAACCTTAACGTGGGAGGTTTGGTGTCGTATCACGGGCGGGAGCGGGTTGGCATGTGCATATACATTTTCGAATAACTACATTTACATAAACCTACAATCCTATGAACTGCTCGAATTTAAACGCATCCACATGCATTCACATGTCTGCGAATATATGAACTGAAACCTGGTTACGTATGTTTGCGTCGCTAGACCTATTTACACCTATTTACCTAACTTGTACTAACTTACATACTTACATATCACAACACGTTTCTTAATTAAACCTTTACATTTGTTGGCATGCGTGCTTACACTCTGACACGATTTTTGCACGTTTACAAATATGTACATATTTTCCATAGATATAGATATTCACAAGTGTGTACACATTTACATCTATCTACAGATACTTACATATATTTACACATACCTCCATCTGTTTACACTTGCCTGCACATCGTCCTACATATCCATGTTTCTTTACATACACCTACAAAAGACATACATTTGCTACATCAACATACTGACATACACTTGCATAAATAGCTACGGAAGTACATACCTGCGTACTTGCATGCATGCATACATGCATACTGTGAGCTCAAGACTCCCAGGTGGC